ATTGTTATTATTTAATTTTCTGAAATACATTAATACATATTAATAATTATATAACTTAAAATATAACTTAAAAGAAAATATAAAATGTAAAATTTTATATTAAAGCAACACAAACGTTTGAAATAATACTAACAACGATACAAGAATATGGCGGGACACATACTAAACGCGACGAGAATCGAAAACCTGTGTAGGGCGATTTTATCACGATACTCTTAAGACAGGTGCACGCTGGACCAACGGAAGGTCAACAATAAAAACCGCATTCCTATTGGGGTGTTACAACGTTGTCACATTGAACTCAAACCGTTTTTGGTGACACACGTAACACACACGACCAGTTTAAACCGCTTACACCGAATAAAAAGGGCAGGCCAGTTCATTGAAAACTGTACTGTAATATTCAAGTATTATAAACGTTTGGTATTTTCTGTATAACAGGTACCTTGCTTAAAAAAAAAAACACGTAAAAATACAACTCTGGTTCCAAAACATTTAGGACATTTTATATAATTTTAAACAAGGGGTTCTGTAAAAAATGTCTTTTAACGCATTGTTATACCATTTCTTTTCAATAACTTGGACAAACGGGAAAAGCTAATGAATAATGTTCCACTATCTAATTACTTAATTCCTATTCCTAGAAAATAATCTTTTTACCTGTATTTCTGTTCCAATGAAAAAAAAAACTGTGAATCAATTCTTATTGTGTCAAATTTTGTTTTGATCACTATAATAATAAAAGAATTCGATTAAAATTTCAGCACAATACCACTACTATTTATAGTACGACTTGTTAAGTCAACCACGCCTTATCAAGATGACAGACTGTTAACCACTGCGGGTTTACTGTATGAAAGTTTGGGACAAATGAGAGTTCAACAAACAACTTATGATTTTACCGCATATCTAGATTTAAGCTATTATAATACTAATTCAGACCAATTAAAACTACGTATTACCGAATTAAAAGAATATTGTAAAAATTATGATAATCGCACCTTTGAATGGAATTCAATAAATAATGTAACTACTACTGATAAAACTCTATTACAGCGATGTGCCTTTATAGTAGATAAAATAGATTTTATTCGCGAAGAAGTGGGGCGAAAAATAGATTTAAGTCTAAAATCTGTAGGGCATACTAGAGTCAAAAATCGACGTGCTATACCGTGGTCAGTTTTGGCGAAAACAGCTAAGACCATCTTTGGGCTTTGTAGCGATACATGCTTAGAAAAATCCGAATCTCTTATAAAAAATTATCTAGACGGAGGCGAAACAGCCTTACCACAAAATACTAGGGTATTTAAAATATCACAGAATGTTAAACCTGGTCAAACTTTGCCACCACAAATAAAACCACCTTCCGACACCTATACCACCGGGATAATGGAATTATTCCGCTTAGGTAATGTCGCTGAAATTGAATTGTTATTATCACAATACATTTATGAATCTAATCTCATATTTGAAATACTACAGTTAGCACGGTTAGGTCAACTTCATTCTAGTTTAATAAGTATTGACGAACTTCAGACGCAATTTGTTTTTATAGCAAACCAATTGGAATCAAATACTCAGCTTCCATTTGATACTAGTCTTGATCACTTAGCTGAAACAATTAAATTGTCACAAATTATTATTTATTATGCTGATGGGAAAATTGTATTTAAAATAAACTTGCCCGTACTTCTAAAAGATCGTTTACTTTTGTATCACATTCTTCCTTTGCCAATTTGTAATAACCAGACTTGTATGTATATTAAGCCAAAATTTCATTATATCGCTGTAACAAACAATCATGAACGATATTCGACATTCGAAAAAATTGATCAGTTAAACTGTAAACGAAGCTCAAATTTCTTACTATGTGACGAATTATATCCACTCCATGCTTACAGCAATTTGCAAGTTTGTGAGCTTTTACTATTAAAACAGCAAAGAATTGTTCCTAGTAATTGCAAAATCCTTTATAACAGAATAACCAGTACTATTTTTTATAAATTTACAAATAAAAATAAATGGCTTTATATTTCGCCTGGAGAGACCATTTTTATAGTCTGTGGTGATCACCCCGCAGAACGGATACAATTAGAAAATAATGGGATCCTAAGTTTAAATTCTTCTTGTAGAGCCTACAGCGATCAAGATGTATTAATTGCGGGAAAAGAAATTATTTCTGAGGGATATAATGATTTTATTGCCAATATCACCATGCCAGAACCAACATATTTGAGTTCAAGGTTTAATAACCACTTTTTAAATGCCTTTCACACACAAGCTCGTTCAATTAGTGATCTTTTAATTAACGGAAAGTCAACAAGACAACTCGAAGCAGAAGCCGATATTTTTCATGTACCATTTATACAAAGTATATATGAATACGTTTTGTTAGGTCTCAGCATAGCTAACTTAATAATAATTCTAGTAGTGTTATATATAAATGATATATTACAGTATAACCGCTTAAGGCGAGCACGAGCCAATAGGATTGGGCAAGCCGTGCGCGCGGGAGAGGAAATACCTTTGTAAAAATATTAAGTAACAAAATAACAAGTAGCAAGTAGAGACATATAAATATTCAAATATATATATATAAGAAAAATCATGGTGAAGGACGACTAATATACGTATGACGTTACATCTGTAGTAATATAATGAAACCTGTTTTAGCGCAAACATAAAGATCATAGTAGCCGATTTCGAGTTCCTGCCGAAAGCCAACAGTGAATATGTCACTGTGTCGGGCTGCCTGTTGTCAACGCACAAGAATAATGACCCCGTGAAGCTATCGGGAATTCCGGTAGTGGTAACCAAAACTTGTGCGCCACGACGGGCCACGGAACAGGAACTCAGGTCGCTTACTCGACAGTGCAATAGATTTAAGACAACGAAACCAGCGTTTGGCTCGTTATTAAACGAGCTAAATAAGGGACTGTGTCAGAAGGGACCCTCAACGATGAATTTATCCTCCATTTCAAAGTATATCCACAAAGGTTCAAGGAAACCCATCATAGTATTTTGGAACGGTAACCATGATTACAAAATATTAAAGCAAATGGGACTGAAAAATGTCTATAAATACTTGAATATGACCGCCTGGGATAATAACAACGACGGGCGGTTCAATTTAAAGTTGCTAAACATGGAGACCGGAAAAATCTATTACGATGAGTTTCTAGGGGTGGTAACGAAGGGAGGAAGGGATCTGAACCTAAAGGAAGCTCACGAATTAACATGTATAGAAACACACCCCCCCCACATGAATTACCACAATCCGGTTTTTGACACGGTGGCTTCCCGCTGTGTTTTAAATTATATTATTAGAAAGTTAAGGCCAATTAGATTTTACAGATTAATTAAGGATATGCCTAGTATAAGAAAAAAGAAAAACAAAAAAAGAAAAAAAAAAACATAACTAACATTACGAAATAAGTAGCATAAGTATTACTAACATTTAAATTCTAAAAATATATGTTTTAATGTTCTAGGTGAATGGAAAACTTTCCTACTTACATTAACATTAGTACATTAGACATAATGAGTACGAGCAATCCCCGTATAGTCTTTATGAAAAAAATCATAAATTGTGCTTTAAACAATTGCACTAACCATCTTGCCCCCAGACACACATTGAAAACCATAATAGCTGAAGTAAATTCAGAATTAATTATAAAATTTGATGAGCAGTATTTGAAAAACTGTGAAAGGGAAATTACAAATTTAATGAGGGAACTTTATGGGTCGTTACGACCATATAACATTTCAATGGCACTCGTTATCGCGGCCATAGAGAGGGATAACCTATTAGATACATTTTTTGAACATGAAAATGTAACAGATGTAACAAAGTATTTTATTAGCATACTAAGGATAGCCTTTGAAAACTGCACTATTTATAAAAGAAGACGAACACTTTGGGACATATTAGTAGAGGCTAATACATTCGATTTCCCCAATAGATTTCTTAAAGGTATCGAACAACAAGTTAAAACGACATTTAGAAATCGTTTTAGTAATTTACGACCCTACAACGTTAGCATGGCATTAGTCATAGCTGTCCAAGACAAAGACTATTTAATATCACAAATTACGGGGGAACTACCTAATATGGATTATGAAGTGGACGAGATCATAGACTAGGCTATGCCTAAAAAGTTCTAAGGGGGACAGGACTTGTCTCTCTTCACACCGAACTGGTATGGCCCTGTCTTGATCAAGTCCACCCCTCCTTATTTATCTAAATAGAATTGCTCGTACCTCATTTAATGAAGACGGACGTGTTGTTCCCCATGGTTCTAGGAAAGGCAGGACTTGTCTTTTCTCACACCGAGCTCAAGGACACACCGACGTCAGGTAGATTATGATTAATAATAATTAATAAAATTATAACTCAGTCAAAATTATAGAGAGAGAAAGATGCTTTTATCATAGATTCTAAATTAACTGAAGATATTATCTAAGGTAATAAATTGTAATTGTATTTTAAAAATATTATAATGTCAATTTGAAAAAAAATATATATTGTGATATGAAAAAAAATATATATATTGTATTGTACTTTGATGAAAAAAATATATTGTAATTGTAATTGAAAAAAATGATAAGAAATAAAATATATTATAATACTAACCTATATACTAACCACTAATTTTGAATGTTATAAAAAACTAAACTATATGTAAAACTAACTACTAACCTATATATATTCACTATGTATCCAAATGTATAACCATATAATGTATAACTTTTATATTGTAATTTTAACGATATGTAATGATACACAGACATGTAATTAAGTATTGTCAAAGATGTTTTATCCATAAATGTACAAAACATCTTTCTTAAGGGAGGGAAATGTAATGGGTTACCAAGTCCAGCCATGTTTACGTCATGACCGATTTCTCCTTGAATACTAATATGTGTACGACCGAAAGGAGTTATTCTATACTTTGTATAAAACCAAAATGTAAACAACGTCATAAATTGTAAAATCCAAATTATAAATTGTAAAAGCCAATTTATTTATGCAAATTATATATTTTGTACAACTGAAAGATTGTAAAAACGCACAAACAAACACATAAATTGTATCTATCCGACAATGTTAGGCACTTAGCAGAAGACAACTTGGCCATTCACCAACAACCCGGATTAACGCTTGCACAACTGAGAAAAGGTCACCGAGGCGGGGATTCGAAGAACTCCTTCCACCGAACCGGATGGACATTTTGCGTAAATACCAGCCGTTTCACCACAGCACCCTCAGAAGTGTCTTGGCCGCGTATTATGACAATACCTGCAACAAGCACTTACTTTATTATCTGTGTATCAACTTAAATGCTTATATTGGAATACAAATATTACCTATTTTATTGAAAGTATTAACTTTATTTACGAAACATCCATCTTCCTTCTTCAACCACTTGTGTGTTAAAGTATCCAAAGGCCACAGACTGCTGGAAC